GGTAATAAGCATTGATAAAACAAGACATCTGCTGGCTGGGCATGGTCACTCATTCCTGTAATCCCAGTACTTTGGGAGGCTGAGGTGGGAGGATCACTTGAACAAAGGAGGTTGAGGCTGCAGTAAACCAGGATTGTGCCACTGCACTCCAGCCTGGGCAACAGAGTGAGACCCTGTCTCAAACCAACCAACCAACCAACCAACCAACCAACCAACAACTTAAAAAAAAAAAAAAGAACTCTGCCTTCAAGGGACTCACAGTCTGATGGTGTGTGTGCCTGTATGGTAGTTTCTGGAGGGAGACAAATAAATGAAAGGATAATTATGATTATACAACATAATATTCTGTATGATACATATAGACACAATTATACGAGAATACAGAAGATTGAATATTAAACCTTCAATGGTTGTGAGAAAAATGACCTGGTAAAGCCTCCTTTAGAAGCTAATAATATGCGGGTTAACTTTTAAATATTAAGTAGCAACTAGGTGAACTACAACAACAAGAGGAGTGATTTCTTGGCAGACTGCCTGAGTTAAAGACCTTGACTCTGCTACTCAGTAGATAAATCACCCTGGGCAAGGTGCTTATTCTCTCTTCTCTTTGTCCCAGTTTCCTATAAAACTACCCCACAGTATAGTCTCCATGTTTCAATGAGGTATCATTTGTGAAACATCTTGTGTATAGTACATACCATTTAAAAATTTTAAATAAACAAATAAATAGGCTGAGGGATCTGCATGTAGGGACATCAGAGTGAAGGAGAGGAGACTGTATTTGACACCGTGCTTCGGTTCTTCTTTGCAAGAGGATAAGATGTGAGGAGAGAAGTTGCAAGCTATGGGGTGGAGAGTTAAATTGTAGGGACACTTGTAAACCCTTCCAAGTGGGGTAGGTTTTACCCTGAGGCTAATAAGAAGTAACCAAAGGCTTTACAGTCAGGTAGTGACCTGTAAAGGCAAGAATCAAGGAACCCAGTGAAGATTCCTTGTGATATTACCACTGATAAATGCTGGTGGCCTGAACTGGAGTGGTGAAATATTAAGGAGAAAGAATCAACAAATCTTTATGACAGGAACTAAACATGACTCCCGAGGGTCTGTTTTTGTGTCTCCAGGGTTGGAGGAGCCATTCACTGGAGATGAGAAGGGAAAGGAAGAGGAGGAGGATCAAGACGTGGCTACAGTGGATGTTGTGGATTGGACCTAGCCTGTCTGGGAAGTCTGGGACACCCAGGGGGCAACTGCTAACTCAAGGCCTGAATGGATGGTGTTCCTCCAGTCTTTCCAAGAGCAGAGGAGAGATGATGAGCTGTTGGCTGTCTTTGATTTGGGTATGTGAACCTGAGGACTGACTATGAAAGTTGTGTCCTGTTCAGGGAGTAAGCCCAAAGCTGGATGGAGCTCAACACAGAGCAGCAGAGTGGGATGGAGCCATGAAAAGTGGGGCTAAGGAATAAGGAAAAATGAGGATCCTGGAGGGTCTGTGAAACTATCAGTGCCTGCCACATTCGCAGGTCCCTCCTGAAGATGCTAGCCCCATGAGGTTCTTTCAGAGGAGTCACTGTGGTTTGGGATGTGGATCTCAAGCAAAAATGAGCAGACCACCTGTCCTAGATTGATTAGACCAGGGTCTGATGCATGAGCCAATGGTGTGCGACCTGGAAATGTGGAGGTCACTGCTGTCCCCCATCCCTACCACCATCCCTACACAGCTTTGAACAAAAAAGGTCACTGAGAAGACCTGGTATTAGATAGAGGCATATGTGTCCACTCATGCCCTCTCTTAGGGACAAATAGACAGTGCCCACAGATAGGGTATTTGGAACCATGGTGAGTTGCTGGGGGTCCAGAGTGTTTTTCCAGCAGTGAACGAGAAGACATTGTCTTGCTTCATGCACCCTTGTAGGCATCCCATCAATATCAGTAGTACCCACTTTTGTTAGAGGAGGAAACTGAGGTTCAATATGTAACAAGATTACAAAAGCCACAAAACAATTCACTGTGTAACTAGCACTCATAGTCTGAGGCTAAATTGCATATTTTCCTTCTATTCTAAACTACCTTGCCAATACTTTGATAAATATAATTTAATCAGCAGTCCATGATAAGTTTTATTAAAATGTCAAGAGGCTTACCAGTCAGAATGAAAATGCAGGATAAAACACATATTTGTAGGTTTTACTAAACCCCACACTGTTGGAATATAATTCCTACTATTCAACAAATCCAGGCTCACTCATCTCTATTCTATTGTGCTAAGACCACAAAACTATAGGAGGAATAATGTTTTCCTTTTTCTCTGTTCAAGCTTTGAGCTTAAAACTGGACACAGCATGCCACTTTTGCTACGAAAGCCAGGGAATTTGATAGCTACCACACAGATGCATTTTGCTTTATCTAAGAATATCCCCTGAGTTGGGAACAACTGGCTACTCTCTGCACTAAAAGTTTATTTGCCTGTTTTTACTTTTCTGAAAAACCACAAATCATAATAAAGAGTTTTTATTTTTATTTATTTATTTTTTTAGTGGAACCACAATAACTTCTAATCTCTGGTAAGAACACATGAAAGAGAAGCCAGACAGACTGAAATTGGTTCCTGTGTTATTCTGCTTTATCCTGCACTGAAGCTTTTAGGAGGTGAAAGTTGGCATTATTAGAGGCCTCAAAGGCACACCAGTTGCCAGGATGTACATCAAGGAACAAAGTGAAATCTTTCCTGAATAAGTGATTATCAAATTACAGACCTGTCACCAGAGCTTCCTGGGAAGGGTCAGCACCTTTCCTTGTTCCCAACAGACAAAGAATGTGTGACAGGCAGATCGATACTCCAGTTAACTAAACAGCTGGCTAATCACAGAACTGACAGCATACAAAGGTAGGTTTGAAGACAATGAAATAAAAGTGCCTTTTTATAGATTTTTTTTGGCGTATTCAACAGCTTGGTGAATTCTACTTTTTTTACAATTTTATTTTCTTCATTTTTCTTTTTTTCCCCCACCAGATGAGGCTGATAGTGATTCTAAGCTCAAATTTAAAAGAAGCGGGGATGCACCTCCCAGCTAATGATGTTTGCATGGGGTGTGATTAGTTATGAATAAGGGGTAGCACAGCTGGGGAGGGAGGCTGACTGATTGATCAGCCTCCTGTGGATAATGGAGGGTGCCCAAATCAATTGTTATTAACTAATTACTCTTCTCCTTTTGTCAGGATAAATTGGTTCATCCAAAGTGTTTTCTAAGTGTGTCAGGTGAATTGCATTAAAAAGGATAAACAGCACTCTTTTTTGTATACTCTGACGAAAATCTTAACAGCTTAATTGTTGTTCTGCTGATTGGAGAGGCAGTGCTATGTAGTAATTAAGGGAAAGGTCTGAGTTGCTCTGATTGAAAGTCTTCTCTGTCACTTTCTAGTGCTGGGGCTGGAGCAAGCTACTTGACTCCTCTGTGACACAGTTTCCTTATCCGCAAAATGAGGATGACAATTGGGTTGGTGTGACAACTTAAAAATTATCATATAGATTTTTAAAGGTAAAAAATAAAAACAGTCATGTAAGGTGCTAGGCATGGTGACTGGCACATCGTAAGATTGTAAACCCGCAATAATACACTGTTCAACATTTCTTCCTTCCTTTTTCTTCCAGTGACACGGGAGAGCCACATAAACATATAGGCTGCATATATTTAATATAAAATATACAGATTCTCCAAAAATTATTTAATCAGTAATATCAATAATATCACCTTCCCTCTATAAAGTGTTTAATGGTTTTGAATCACTTTCCTATCCACCAGCATTTTTAATTGTCACAACATCCTGCAAAAGAAATAAGTTTGGGATTTCTGTTACAGAAGAAGAAACTGAAGCTGAGAGAGGTTTTGTAACTTGTCAATGTATTCAGCCATAAGTCATAAATTCAGATCAGTAAACTGGGTAAAACATTCAGATGCTGTAATCATATCTCAGTTTAAATATTTGCTTCACCACTTCTTAGCTGTGTGACAATGGGCAACTTGCTTAACTTCTCTGAGCATCACTCACCTCATCTACAAAACAGGAATACCAATCAATGCCTATCTTACAGGGTTGTGGTGAGAAGTAATGAAATTAAATAAGGCGTGTAAAGAAAACAGTACTTAGCATTCAGTGCATGTTAGTTGCTAAGTGCTCAGTATTATTATTGTGGTTGTAATCATTATTACCATCATTTTCATTATTATTAATTAGCAAAGTGCCAGCAGGAGCACTCTTTATACTTATTTTCATAAAACTTGTCATCTTTCTACTTGATCGTCCCCTCTTGCTCTTTCTTTTACTACCCCCTCCTCCTCTTCTTTAGCCACATATCAAATGCCATCAGCATATGGGATATACAGTGTGAGCAACAGTTTTGTTAAAGAGGAACATTTTGACATTTTTGGCCACTGTTATTCAACCTCTTATGAATCTGCCCTCTTGAGCATGCCTCCTTGTGCCTTAGGCTGACAAAGTGGAGTTTCTCCATCTGCAAAGGAACTCATAGACCTGACCCATAACCACTGCCTCCTGAGATGCCATCTCTCCTAATCTTTCTTTATTTTCTTTGGAAACTTACCTGTTAGGTAGAAAGAATCTAACTCTTAACATCATTTGTGCAGCAGATATTTATTGAATCCCCATCACATGGTAGGCCCTGCTTCTTTCAATTTCATGCCCCAGAATAAGTTCACATGCAGAAGTGGGCTCTCCTAACCAGAACAGACATAGGTAAAATCAGGTCCCCTAGTGTTTTATGGGACACATACCCACATGCATGCATGTACACATGAATAACAAGAATATATAGAGACCTTTTTAAAAAAGAATATATATATATATACACACACACACACACACACACAATGAAAGTGACTTAGAGGCAACGCTGTTCCCCTGCATGGTGAGCAGGATGGGGAAAGGCAGCCCTGGCACCCCAGAGGGCCCTGTCAATGAACCCAGCTTGCTTCTTCAGCCTGCCCTTTTTCTGTGCTTCTTGCTAGTGATCCTGCCTCCGTGCCTTTGTATAGGCTGAAACTTCCACTTGGGAAGCCCTCCCTACCCCCATGGCACCTGCCATCAACCTAGCAAACATCCCCCCTAGCTTTCATCACCATCTCAACATTCCAGTTGTCCTGGAAACATGTCCATTCTGTTTCTCTCAGCTCCTGCCACAAAACTAACCCTGCCCTCCCCTCTACCAGCACAAACTCTCAGTGGACACTTCTGCTTCAACTCTCTCTCACACTGGATCTCTGAGCTCCTGGAAAGAAGGGACTTTAATATTCGGATCTTTACCCTAGTAAGTGATTGAGAACAAATGAATGAGAGGATGGAAGGAAGAGATAAAGGAGAGAAGAGAAAGGAAGATGGAGAAAGAAAAGGGACCTACAACTGTAGCTTATGAGATAGTGCTTAAATGATGCCATGTCATGCCCGAATAACATTGAGTGAAGCTTGAATCCCCTTGACTATAGCAAAGAGTGAAATAACTCAAAGTTATTGTAGTGTAAAGACCACACTGCTGTGTCTGGGGAGAAAAGAAGAAATATTCATGTGACAGAGACTGATTTGTTCTGCTCATGGAAGTAAGGAGATAGAAGATATTCTGGGTGGCAGCCTGACAAAGCCTGCCCTTTTCTGCAGAAATGACATTGTTTCCAGAGGAGCACTCATCCATGGTGAAAAGGGTTAGGGGACCTGCACTGGTCATCATGCTGTCCTTGTCTTGGAGTATCAGAGACTGGCTACAGCTAGGGCTACCAAAGGCACAAATTAAGAATTTCCTCAAAGATCACTTAGTTACAGACACTCACTTTGCAGAAGCAATCACTGAAAACCAGAAAAGGTAAATGATTTGCTCAAGGTCACACTGCTGGTTGGTAACAGAAAAGGATTTTTACCCTATGCCTCATTGTGCCTTCTTCAGCAATAAGAAAGGAACCTAAACACCTATTCATTAATTATGTATGAAAAGTTATTGGTATTTTATTTTACTCAGGTATTTTACTCTAAGAAACATAAAACCATTAAAGCAACATTGACTGTATGACTCTGTGTAAGGCATTGGATTATAAAAACATATTTGTACGTACGCAAGAATACAAGTTTCAGAGCCAGACAGGCTTTGTTTTATATTCTTGACTTTTACACTGTTCCTCAGTGATTTGAGGCAACTTAGTTGAGCCTTGATTTCCTTCCTTAGTGCTGTACCCTTTCCCAAATGTGTGTTTGGAGTGAATAAATATAAAAGGGTTGGGGCTCAGGTTGATCAAGCCAATGTGACATTCAAGACACAGAGCAGCTCTCACGGGCTCCAGAGGAATTTAGAATCTAGTCTAGAGTAGGTAAACAGAAAAATCTCTGGCCGGGTGCAATGGCTCATACTGTAATACCAGCACTTAGGGAGGACAAGTTGGGAGAATCACTTGAGGCCAGGAGTTTGTAATTAGCCTGGAAAACATAGTGAGACCTTGATAGGAAAGGAAAGGAAAGAAAAAGGAAAGGAGAAAGGAAAGGAGAAAGGAAAGGAGAAAGGAAAGGAGAAAGGAAAGGAGAAAGGAAAGGAGAAAGGAAAGGAGAAAGGAAAGGAGAAAGGAAAGGAGAAAGGAAAGGAGAAGGGAAGGGAAGGGAAGGGAAGGGAAGGGAAGGGAAGGGAAGGGAAGGGTCCCTGAGAAACCTGTGATCAAACAAGGGTCTGGACCATGCAGGCAAGTACCAGTTCCATCCAAGGAGGTAGTATCTACCTGCACTGGAAGAACAGTGGGGTGGTTCCTGTATGCTTATTTAGTGCCAAAGCATCTTGAATATCAAAACTTACAGTGCATCTAGAATATCAATAAGAAGGTGTGTGTAAATAAGAATAGATTTTAGTGTATATTAATAGAGTGAAGAACAATGAAGATGATTTTTTCAATAGATGCAGGAAAAAAATTGCACAATATTCATCTTTTTATGATAAAAACTCTTAACAAATTAAGTACAGAAAAAATGTTCCTTGACACAATTAAGGCCATATATCACCAGCCCTTCATACTCAACAATGAAAAGTTGAAAGCTTTTCCTTCAGTATCAGGAACAAGACCAGGATTCTTACTCTCACCATTTTTATTCAATATAGTATTAGAAATCCTTGCCAGAGAAATTAGTTAAGAAAAATAAAGAGAAAGTATCCAAATAGGAAAGGAAGAAGTAAAACTGTTTCTCTTTGATGAGGAAATAATCATACATTATAAAAACCCTAAAGACGTCAGCAAAACACTGCAAGAACTGATAAGCAAATTCAGTAAAGTTCAGGATATAAAATCAACTTACAAAATCAGATGTGTCTCTCTATGCTAACAATGAACTCTCCAAAAAAGGAATTAAGAAAACAATCTTGGCCCAGCATGGTGGCTCACACCTGTAATCCCAACATTTTGGGAGGCTGAGGTGGGTAGATCACCTAAGGTCAGGAGTTCAAGACCCACCTGGCCAACATGGTGAAACCTCGTCTCTACTAAAACTTCAAAAATTAGCTGGGCGTGTTGGCAAGCGCCTGTAATCACAGCTACTCAGGAGGCTGAGGCATGAGAATTCCTTGAACATGGAGGTTGTAGTGAGCAGAGATCGCGCCACTGCACTCCAGCATGGGTGACAGAGTGACACTCTTCCCCGCCCCCCGAGAAAAGATTCCCCCCCCCCCAAAATGAAAACAATCCCATTAATAATAGCATAAAATACTCAGGAATAAATTTAACCAAGGAGTTGAATAATTTGTATACTGAAAACTATAAAACATCAATGAAAAAAAATGAAGAAGATGTAAATAAATGGAAAGATATCCCATGTTCAAGAACTGGAAGAATGAATATTGTTAAAATGTCCATACTACCCAAAGTGATCTACACATTCAATGTGATTCTTATCAAAATTGCAATCATAGAAAATTCTAAAATTTATATGGAACCACAAAAGGCCCCACAAAACCATAGCAATCTTGAGCAAAGTGAACAAAGCTGTATGCATCACACTAGCTGATTTCAAAATATATCACAAAGCTATAATAATCAAAACAGCATGATACTGGCATGCAAACTGACACACTGACACTTCTTCCTGCTTTAACTCTTTCCCACACTGAACTCTGAGCTCCTGGGAAGCAGGGACTTTAATATTTGGATCTTTACCCTAGCAAATATTTCAGAACAAATGAACGAGAGGGTGGAAGGAAGAGATAAAGGAGAGAAGAGAAAAGAAGATGGAGAAAAAGGGACAAGGAAGAAAAGGGACTTACAACTATAGCTTATGAGATGTTGCTTAAATGATGCATGACACTAGCTGATTTCAAAATATATTACAAAGCTATAATAATCAAAATTGCATGATACTAGCATATAGGCACTACAGGTATACACCAAGCTAAAGTTATTCTTGTAGAAACAAGGTCTCACTATATTGCCCAGGCTGGTCTCAAACTCCTGGGCCCAAGCAATCCTCCTGTGTCACCCTCTAGTGCTGGGATTATAGGTGTGAGCCACTGTGCCCAGTCTCTTAACCAATTTTAAGTGTATGATTTAGTAATGTTAGGTATATTCATGTTGCTGTGTAACCAGTCTCCAGAACTCTTTAATTTTGCAAACTGAAACTTTCTGTCCATTAAAAAACTCCCTATTCTCTCTTCCCCTAGCCCCAGACAACCACCACTCTACTCTTGATAGGAAATATGAATTTGACTATTCTAGATAGCTCATATAGGTGGAGTCATACAGTATTTGTTTCTTTATGACCAGTTTATTTCACTTAGTATAGTGCCCTCAGAATTTATTCATATTGTAGCGTGTGTCAGAATTTTCTTCGTTTCTAAGGCTGAAAACCAGCCTATTATACGTAAATATGGTGTTTTGCTTATCCATTCATCCATGGATGAACAGTAGGGTTGATTCTACCATTTGGTTATTGTGAATACTACTGCTGTGAACATGGGTGTATGGAATGATTTAACTTTAACACATAAATGAGATTTAGAATTATTTTTCTCATAACTCTCAGAAGCTCATATCAGCTACCTTTTAAGCCCAGAGGTGTAGCTCAGAAAACCTACCTTCCAGGGATACTGGGAAGATTAAGGGAAATAGCTGAGAGTGCCACACACATAGTAGGTGCTCCATATACTTACCATCCCCTTTCCTTCCCTTCTTTTCCCTTATAACTTGCCCCATTCTTGGTGCAGATTGCTGGGGAGTACGCAAGTTCCATGGTTGCCTACAGTGCATCAAGTATTCTGAAAATGATTAGACTGCAGATTATGCCTCCTGTATAGTCAAAACATTTAAAATACCATTAAACCTCTGCTTTCCCAGCTCTGTGGGTTTCTGCAACCTACAGCTCACAAAATTTTTGTGTCTGCAGGGGTTCATAATATACTCTAGGCTTGATGCAGTGTTGCACATGTTTCTACGATGTGATTATGGGGAAGGATGTGATGCAGCTCGCCTTTTATTTTGAGATGGAAATTTTGCATGACATTTATCTCTCCCCTTGATTATGTACTTTGGTTCCCTGTGATCATTTTTCATGGGGATGAAAGGGTCTGTGAGAGTTCTGTCATCTATTTTATTTAGATTTTTGATTTTTAGATTTTCGTCCCACAGTCAACCAGTATAGCAGGAAAATATAAGTTCCTTTGTGGCAAGTGGCAAAGAGGAGAGAAGGGAAAAGGGGGGGCATTTAGTAGCAGACACCATTTGTGGAGCCCCCACCATGTCCTGAGAATGGGGTGGGAGCTTTACCTCCATGATCTCTAACCTGCCAATGCTGCTTGAGAATTAGAGGTCAAATGACCTGATTAATGATAAGTGGTGCTTAGGAAGTATTACAGTCAAGATTTGAACCCAGGCCTGACTAGATCCTAGATCTGTGCTTAGGCCACTGCACAGCAATTATGCAGCTATTGAAAGCCAGGTGCTACCTAGGTCCAGGAAATGTAGAGATGGTGACTCTGGTGTGTGAGGTTTGCATTCCAGGCAAGACTATCCTCTTCCATTACATACGACTACATAACCAGGCAGAAGTGACTTCCATGAGGTAAAGTGTTCTGGGAGTGTAAAGAAGGGCACAATCACACCCTTTACTCTTTTTAGAAAACTTTTTATATGGACCTGATGAATATGCAGGAAGAAGGGAATTCTGGTTGTGGGTGGGGGAGTGTGATCAAAAACACAGAAGTGAGAACTTTTCAAGTGGGATAGTTGAGACTGAAGATACAAAGTTTGTTTTTTGTAAGCACGAGGGTAAGGACTCAGCTTTCAGACTCTTCCCTTGTGCTGTGCTGCATCTAAAACATGTAATGGTTTGGGCCTCTGTATTTAATGCGGATGCTGCAGCCACCAGGGATGAAGTTAGGCATTTTGCCCTGGCTGGCTGCTCTCTAAGGTAGGTACCATGTGACTGGCAGGGAGCAGCAATTCAGGATAAAGGAAAAATGAAATAGGGAGGAGGAATGCCTGTTTCCAGTAGTTCCTTCCAAAGAAATCCTCAGTAGCACTTTAAACACATGATCATGCCTAGAACTCTGATGGCCTCCTCTGTGTATGGGGTTGAGTTCAAGCTGCCTTTACAACTACTTTCTTCAGGCTCATTTCTTGCCTCCATACAAGGTGGAGGAAGGCCCCGGATGGATGATCCCATCCTCTCTCCAACCTTTGTACCTGGATGCAACACCTTTTTTCCACGTGCATCCATTCTTTCTCTCCTTCTGCACGGGAGCATCTCTAATTCATTTGTTAAGACCAACTGGAAAATTTCTTCCTCAGTAATACATTCCTCCACTTAGCCAGAGATAACTGCTCCCTCCAAGTGCTCCCATATCCTGTTATCTTTGTGAAAATTCTTTGAATATGATATCATAATTGTCCAAGTTTGCCTGCTCCACTGGTGCTGTGTACCTCCAGGGCATAGGAGGACTTGATGGAACAAATGAATGAATGGGTAAGGGAGCAATAGAATGAATGGCTGATTTCTCCATCACCATAGACTGCTGCAAGATCTGCACCAGTGGGCAAATTAGCACAAGAGGGAATGAGAGTGGGAGTGAGGAAATGATGAAGAGCATTTACAGCGGTCTGGGCATTTGTCCCCTGACCAATACCCTGTAAATACAGGCAAACATGGAAGGAACAGATATAGATAGGGGCACCTTCCTGAGGCAGGTGCTGTGGAATCCAGGGGGTGACAGGTGGAACACAGGCAGCTTCTCCAGGATAAATTCAACTGGCCTAAAAAAAAAAAAAAAAAACACCTAAAAGAGGATTAAACTGTTAAAAGACAGTGTATGCCTATACACTTCTGTTGCTGGGGTTTTTAGTAGCTACCTGGTAGAAATCTCTGGTATATATATTATTTCCCATTTTCAATTTCATGGAGTACATCATTTTCCAAAGCAGTGTCCCCTGTCTAGTAATATCTAGTCAGCCAGCCACATCCCTCCGCTGAGCTGCATAGATAAATCACATCTCCGCACATTGCAGTAAAGGCAGCTTACTGGGGTAGGAAAACGACTCTCTGGGTTTTGCAGAGATCTGAGTGCAAATCCAAATTGGACCATTTACTAGTTAGGGAATCTTGGACAATTTCTTTTAAAGTCTCTTTTTCTATGCACATCTCATCATCTGTAAAGTACAGAGGACACCCCCAGCCATCTCTGTGGTGAGGACTGAAGGGCTTAGTAGGCAATCCCTAGTTACCAGTCTCCTGCTAGCCCCCTGCCCTCCTTCCTTGAGAGACAGCTGAGTGGGGTGGAGCCAGCAGAGGAGGCAGACTGGGGGAGCATGACTTGAATTGCAGTTTTATAATTTTGGAAAGCTCTCATAACTTTTAAAAAGGGGTTTCATATTTCTCATTTGTTCTTTCAAACACTTGTGATGCAGGCCTCTGGGGTGGGATATTAAAGCATGAGCATCAACAATATCAGACTTGGAACCTTCATGCTGTGACTTCCTTAGGCATCCTGCATGCCCCTGTCTTCCCCTTTCATTTGTTTCCTTGAATTTCATTCATTTATTCATCTATTCTTTCATTCCTCTACTCATTAGTTAATGAATGTCACTCAGTTGTTTATTTTTTCCTTTATTTATTAAACATATAATGAATACCTCCTTTGAGGTAGGCATTGTGATAGACTCATGGGATACAGATATAATCCCAATGTTCAAGGGGCTCATTTTCCACCAGATGTGCATTGATAAACTAAGGCACATACGCGCGCACACACACACAGTGATAAAGTGTCGAGTGCTGCAACAGAAATATGAACAGGGAATTGTGATAGCATAGAGTGATATGTGATTAAACCATCTCTGATTAAACACTGCATGGGTCAAGGAGGAGGTGCAGTTTCATTTTCAGTAACCAGTATTAGCTGGTCCCTTAGAAGAGCTCTTGGCTGGTGACATCACTTAGTTATGCAATCATAAGACTGGCGTCTCCTCAGGTCTCAGGAACTCTGACTTAGTATCACGTTTATGTAATCGAGATGAGCATCTACATGTGGAAAATGAAAGCTATAATCTTGGAGTGAATATAGGAGGCCCCCACAGTACTAGCAGGGAATCCAGCAAATTATAACAGTAGGGGTCTAACCAGACAAACAGAAACCACTCCAGTCTTTATGATAGACAGAATTTAATGTGGAGGATTTGTTATGCAGATGGGCGTGTAGCTAAAGAGTCAGGCAGATGATTGTGGGATGATCCAGAGATCAGAAATAGCAGGGAAAGTTATGAAGAAAATAAGAAGTGTTATCTGATCCAAGAGCCTGAGGCAAAGAGGAAGGGAGAGAAACAGCCTGACTGCTCCTTTCACTTTCTTCTAATCTCCTCCCAGTGCCTTCTATCGGCTGAAGCCAGTTAGAAGCCAGATGACAGAGAGACCCGGGAATTCCTTAGTCTCCTAGTCAGCCCCTCCACCTTGCAATATAGAGGAGGGGAAATGGTGAGAATGTGATGGAGGGTGAAGAATCCCAAGATGGGTTCACAAGGACATTCATCCTTATGGCACTGGGCAATCTCAGGCTGTGCAAAACCAGCTGCCAGAAGCCATGACAGGTGAGTTCTTTCTTTTTTTTACCCCAGAGATGTGGTCTTGTTCCATTGCCTAGGCTGGAATATAGTGGCACAATCATAGCTCACTGCAGCCTCAAACTCCTGTGCACAAATGAACCTTCCACCTCAGCCTCCTGAATAGATAGAACGACAAGTGGGTGCCACCATGTTCAGCTAATTATTAGTCTTTCTCTTCCTCTTCTTCTCCTTCTTCTTCTTCTTTTTTTTTTTTTTTTTAAAGAATTGGGGTCTTGCTATGTTTCCCAGGTTGGTCTCCAATTCCTGGGCTCTAGTGATCCTCCCACCTTGGCCTCCTAAAGTGCTGGGATTTACAGGCATGAGGCACCGTGCCCAGCCTGGTTATCTTTCTTGATTTTTTTTTTTTTTTTGAGATGGGGTCTCACTCTTGTTGCCCAGGCTAGAGTGCAATAGTGCAATCCCAGCTCACTGCAACCTCCACCTCCCAGGTTCAAGCAATTCTCCTGCCTCAGCCTCCTGAGTAGCTGGGATTACAGATGCCCACCAACACGCCCAACTAATTTCTGTATGTTTGGTAGAGATGGAGTTTCACCATGTTGGCCAGGCTGTTCTCAAACTCCTAACCTCAGGTGATCTGCCTGCTTTGGCCCCCTAAAGTGCTGGGTTTACAGGTGTGAGCCACTGCGCCTGGCCCTTTCTTGATTTTTATACACTTCAAAGTTCTTGAACAATTCATAGCAGAGACATGGAATACCGGAATAGTACTCAAGAGATGATATCAGACTTCCCGTCAAGAAGGCATATATGTGATTGTTCAATTAATTAACAAAGTAAACTGGATTTAAATATAACAGAAACCAAAATTGGGAATGAGATCATATAAGTTACATGATAATATAGTAATAATTATACATACTAAGGTTGAGCTCTTTCTATGGGCCAAGTACTGTATTAAATACTTTACATAAATTAGGTAACTTAATACTCCTTACAGTCCTGTGAGGGTATATATTATTAGCTCATTGTACATAAAAAGTAACTGAAGTTTAGTGACTTGTGGAAGGTTATCTAATGAACAAATAGCAAAGATAGGGTTCTAACTCAAATCCCTTGGAATCCAAAATATATATTCTTAATCACTATGGTATATGTCTGCAAAGGAACAAAAGTATCCTTCATATCACAGTCAGAATGTAGCTCTCTGGTTCCACCTTAAGGGACAGTGAGCATCCCGTGCCACGTGGTGGAGAAAAGGCTGCATATTACTAATGCAATGTGACATCCCAGAAAACAGTATTAGGGCCTTGATCAAAATATATTTGCATCATGTATGGCAGCAATAGTCTTAGCTTCTGTAATTAGATAATCTGGCACTAGTCTTGCTCTCCCCACTGTTGGAGACAGAAGTTTGGTCCTGGGGAATGTGGCAGGGGGAAATGGGCTGAAACCAAGCTGAAGAGAGTTTGAGCTGATTATCTTGCAAAATATGTCCAAGCTCTGAGCCATTACAGGATGAGAGTACCCCTAGGGATTGTGCAGAAGAGAAGCCCCATTGCCTTCAGCTCCTCTGAGTAAGTGCTGTGTAAACACAAAGTATCCAGATGATGGCTATGACAGTGTCCCATCAGTTAAAGATTAGTGAGGGCTCCCATGAACTGGGGACCCAGAACCACTGCAGAGACAGATGGAGATGATTCAAGGTAACAACAACTTCCAATGCAACACCACTACATTATCTCCCTGAGTTTCAAATGTTTCCACAAAAGAAGCAGAACAGATATTATTATCTACGTTTTCTAAGTGAGGAAACTGAGGCTCAGAAAACGGGTGATTCACTGAAAATTATACATGCTATCAGTAGAAGAGCTGGAATTAGTCTTGAGCTACAGGTTCAGAACCTTATTGCATTGTGCTATATTGAGGAGATATAGTTATGCTTTAATGTTCTTTTTATGCCTATCTGGGTTTTGGTCTGTTAAAATGACAAACCTTTAAACAATTCCTCTAACACAAATATTCTAAACACAAATCAAAGTTTCTGTAGCATCAGTGTCTGACTTAACTTCAAATAATGAGATTATCCCAGAGAAGAGCCACTCATCCCTAAGGCAGATCCATGTAACATCAGGCAGAGTGGTGTAGAATGCAGCAAAGGGGCTTGTACCTCACTCACCACGAGCCATTCACAGGATCCAGGCCATACATAAATTCCCAGCCTCTAACGGACATTTGCGATATAAGTGTGCATTCTTGGGAAACTACGGCCACCTTTGTATCTCCCATAAACATCATTGGACCACTTTATGGTCTTGAGTCCCTTGAAAAGATCTTTAATGGGAGGCTCTGTGCTCCTGAATAGGGCCTTGCCACTCTGGAGCAGTCAGAAAAGACTTCATGCAGAAGTTGCTGCTTCAAATGAGGTGTGAAAGTGTAGGGGTTCCTCAGGAATACTGGGGATGGCTTAGTCCAACACTGGCATTTTTCAGATACAATTCACTTCAACTCAACAAACACTTATCAAATGTGTGTTTGTCAATGTTCTCAGGAAATTCTGACCCAGAGAAGTCAACATATTTTTACAATCACCCGATATGCTCATAGCAGAGCCAGGTTTGCAAGACATGTCTCCTGACCCTTAGGGGACACACACTTCCTGATATATCCCCCCGGGCCTCCTCACTTCCTTGGAGCAAAACAGCACTGAAGGACCTTAATCACTGTGTTTTCCTTGCTGTTAATGCTAGTTGTGAAAATGCCTGACACTGAGATCTGTCCTATTTCATGTGCAGGTAGAGTAGTGATTAATGATCTACATTATCATCATTGAGACTTTGTCCAAAAATTAGCTGAATGAATTTGTTAGATCTGACTATCATTTTGAGAGCCACAATTTTATTTGACATGAATGAATACTGAAATAGCTATTTAACCTCAGGCAAGGCTAGTCTATCTAATCTTGATGCTGTAGTAGGCTGGTTCCTTCAACCAAGAACCCAGCAGGAGGGTGTGCCGAGTCATCAGCAGCACTTCCAAATTGGAGCACCCGTTTGTTGCATGCCTCTTTGCATATGTCACCACATGTAGTGCTCACAAAAAATGAGAATTGTTATGTTTGTTTTACGTAGGAGAAAGCTGGAGCATAGAAATGTTTTAAAGTAAATTGTTAAAGGTTACACAGCTAGTTAAGTACAGGAGGTGCAATTCATACCAGGCTTGTCCAATTCCAAACCTCCTGTTGTTTTGCCAGAGAAAGAAAGTTTTGAAAGAAAAGAAATTTTAAAAAGAAGAATTTCAGATTTGGAAGGAACTTTATGTTGTAGCTATATTGGGGGTGGTCATGGGGCCTTGTGAGCCTTAAATCACAGAGGGTGTCAGAGAAACCAGAGAAGATGGAGTTGAGATGGAGGAGGATTAGGACCAGGAAATCAAACAGGCTCTAGTGTCTTGCTGTTAAGGGTCAGGACCAAGGGCAGTTTATGTGATCGCTGTCATCAACGTCACAGTGAGGCATGATTTTGTATTCATCTCACTGCAAAACTTAAGAAGGCTTTGAATATTATGCTCAGTTATGGAGAATTGTGGATCAATAGGATCTTTTATACTTTGCTGGTGAGAATGTAAATTGGTATAACCACTTTGGAAAATAATTTGGTATTACTTCACAACATTTGATATTCATGATCTCACCCCTAGATATACCCAAGGAAAAATATTTTTATATGTGTAAGAGAAGACATGTCCAATAATGTTCACAGTGGTACTGTCTATAGTAGCAAAAAAAATTGTATATGACCCAAACACCATCCCCATGTCATAGGATAAATAAAATATGGTATATTAATTCAATGGGATATAGTGGAATATTATACAATAGTCAAGTGAATAACTTATGATTACGTACAATATAGTAAGAGCTATTAGTATGGGGGAGGACCACATGTGTAGATACAGGATTTCCATTATGTAGGTTGCTGTAGTAATGGCTCTAAGGTGTCCATACCTCTGTGTATCCACACCCTTGATATTCTCCCACACTGGCTATGGGCTTGCAAAATGACTTGCTTTGACCAAGGGGTAAGAGCAAACATGATAGACACTGACTTGGAATGTGCTTGCACATCGAGCTAGCTCTCTCTTGCTGTTCCTAGGAACACTACAGTCATTATCATGTGAACACACTTGAGCTATCCTGGTAGAAAAACCTGGCACCACCACCTCTGTAACCCCAGCTGACTATTAACCAATAGTCCACAACAACTTCCAGACAACTGTGAACAAGGCTATCTCAGACTATCCAGCCAAACCTGCCCAGATCAGAGGAATGACCCAGGTGAGCCCAGGTGAATTGCCAGCCCACAAAATCATGAACCAATAAATCATTGTTACTTGAAGCCACTGAGTTTTGAATGATTTATTATGTGGCAAAACCCAACCAATTTCATTTTTACTTAGGGCAGCAATGTATTTTATAATAAACAAACAAACAAGTGAGAACCTTGTATAAACCAACGATGAACATATATTTTGAAACAAGGAATATAATTAATCCAATTATATGCACCTGAAGCTCATTTAAAAATAAGTAATAACAACAAAAGCACAAACTCATCTTTTAGCCTGATGATTACATCAAGCTGCAAAACAATCTCCCCCATTTAGAGTTTTTTGCTCCTTGTGGCAGATTGCTGATTGTCAACCCTTCCTCCAGCCCGCAGTTAATTCCATAACTAACTCCTTACTAATAAGACATAAGAGGAAGTGATGTGTACAGGATCCAAGTCATTTCAGCAAAAGAATCTTGTCCTGGACTCTTTTCTCCCTTTTCCTTCCCATTTTCTGGAAATGGCAAGAACTGGAAAATCTTGTACACCAGTTTTGGGGAAAGGACACCTGCCCTGTTAGCTTGGGACCCTGGTGGATTTGTGGACACAGAACTGGATGCTACTTGAGTTGTTACATGACAGGAAAATCAATTTATCTGTCAGAAACACTATAATTTGTGTATCTTTGTTACAGTGCCTTCA